ATCGTACAGTACACACTCATACATATAGTCATATACACTCATATACATGCAGACATAGTGTGATGAAGGGCCCTTCGCCACTTGGTCCTGGAGAGGCCTGCTTGCCAGCCTCTTACCTTGTGACTATGGCCCCTGGGAGATTGTGCCCTTTAACACCAACATTTGGGCATATTGTATTTTATTGGACCGTGCTGGCCCTTTAAGAACCATCTGGGGACATATTGTGACTTTTGGAAACAATGCCCCTTTAAGACTATGTCCCCAGATCTTTAAAATACTTTTACATGGCTTTTTCCCTTGTGGTTCGGTAATAGGAGCTTACCGAGCCATTCACTGTACAGGCGGACCACCCAGAAGTGGAAGTGTGCAGGCAATTTAGCTCCCCGGCTGGGAGCCTGCTGTAGGTAAATTGCCGACTGCTGGGTGGCCGCCGTTTGTGCAAACCAACACGTGGCGGCTGCCATCTTTTTTTATTCAAATACGGTCAGCGATGTGTGGAGCCAAATTCACGGAACTGAAATCGGCTACACAGTTCCATGAACACCGCGGACCCTTACCTTCTCCTACACTGATTTTTCAGCCGCAGAGACTAAGTATCGTTTGAAGATTGGAGCTTGGAGTTCTCAGCGAGCACTAGGAGCATCGATTGGCGGAGGTACTCAGTCGGAGTACCAGCGGTCCGTCACACATAGCAATACAGAAACTCAGACAGACACACACATACAGTCATATTGACACATGGTCATACAGGCACATGCATAAACTCATAGATACATACACACACTTAGAAGTTAAGTCAGGTTCCAGAGGAAAATATGAATAACAAATTATCTGAACTGTGCACTTTAATAATGTATTCTGAGTGTGCAACAGTAATTATATATATTTTGGTCTAAGCAATTTTAGTGACAGTGTCTAGGCCTATCACTCAAGTCACTGGGACTAATTAGGCAGGCTCTTGGGCTCAGATCTCCAGCTAGTTGCCAGAGAAAGTGTGGGGAAAAAAATCTGCACTATATGGTGAGTGTATAACAATAATTTATCATATGTAGCATCACTGGGATTGATTAGTCTAAAATATTATATAATAATTTAAGATTATGCTAGCTTTAGTGTACAGATAATCTTAATTTTAATAATGACAGGATGCTTTGTATTTTGCATAATCTTTCTTTACTAACTCCATAGCAGCAAAGAAAAGAGTGACAAAACTGAGAACCAATCACAATGCAGTATAGAGTATAAGAGGTGTAACATATGACATTATTTCCTCTAAAAGCATGCAACATCACAAGATCATAATGCAGAATAATAACAGAGGTAACTCGAAAAGGTCCATGGTAAGATAATGGTAGAACGTGTAAACTGAACACAAAACAGGTAGACTCCAAGCGAAAACCTCTTGATGTCAAGTGATGATCTCCCATGACAGGACGATGATGACACCTTGAATGGAGTCTTTAGTTCCTTGAGGTATATGGTTAAACTGAAACGAGAATATAAAGGGTATTAGATTCCAAAAATGGTTGTGTAAAAACAATGAAATGTCTATCCCTTACAATAAAATTAAAATCACCAATATAAAAACAGAACGAATACATTCCTCCCGTCTATCGGTGCTAGCTAAAACATCCCACCCACCTGGCATATCTGCATCAAGTGTATGAGTAACCCAAATTTAGTCATCAGTACAATAATAGCAGAAACAAAAAGAGTTGGAAATATGCATGAAAACAGAGGGAGGGAAGTAGCGAAAGAGAACAGGGAGGGAAAATACTCGCCTCCTGTCCTTATTAAAATTAAGATTATCTGTACACTAAAGCTAGCATAATCTTCAATTTTATCAAATGACAGGAGGCTTTGTATTTTGCAATTTCAAACGCTGGGAAAGCAGAGAAAAAGCCGGATCATCAAGAGGACGGAAGTAGAACGTCCTAAAGGTGGATTCTCTGGTCCAGTCCACCGCTTGTAAGATGTCCGAAAGGGAAGCGCCTGCCGCATAAGTAACCAAAACTGGACCGTAGGGGCGGACGCAAGAGATGAGAAGTTGACGCGTGGAAGGTTGCCGCAACGTCGCGGTGGCTTCCACGTATTGACGGAGAGTAGAGACCACGCAGAGCTGAGGGTCCGAAGGGAAGAAAGGGTAGAAGACCGAGTGAGAGTTGGACTTAGTGAGTCGTGAGACCTGAAAGGTAACCCCCGCCGTGCAGAAGGTAAAAGCATCGGCGTTGAAAGCGCGTACGTCGGATACCCGTCGAAAGGAAACCAGACAGAGCAAGAAGGTGAATTTTGCGGCCAGTTGGCGGAGTGACAGGTCCTTGTTAAGAGGCCAATTTCGTAAGAATTGTAGAACCACGCCAACGTCCCAAAGTCTAGAGTATTTGGGCTCAGGGGGGCGCCAAAGGCGCATGCCGCGGAGGAGTCTGCAGATGAGCGGATCCTTACCAACCGGTGACCCCTGGGTCGGAGTATGGGCCGCTGAGATGGCTGATCGTACCACGTTGATGGACCGGTATGACTTCCTGGCAGTGAACAGAGAGGTCAGGAAATTCATGATGGAGTGAGTAGGTGCAGTAAAGGGATTGAGGTCCCGTCCCACACACCAACTTGCCCAGGAGTGTCATGCTGATAAATAGCACCTCCTCGTTCCTGGTGCCCATGAGTCCCATAGGAGGTCCTTAGCTTCCTGCGATAAGTCCTCAGTTCACCAGGTAAATATACAAAGTCACAGCTATGTAAAATAATGACAATGTAAAATATATATGAGCTGAATAATGAGATACCAAATTTTGTACTTTGCTTGTGATGGAGCAGCAAAGAAAGAGGAAACGATGTCATGTGTTACACCTCTTATACTCTATACTGCATTGTGATTGGTTCTCAGTTTTGTCACTCTTTTCTTTGCTGCTATGGAGTTAGTAAAGAAAGATTATGCAAAATACAAAGCCTCCTGCCATGTGATAAAATTGTAATATACTCATCATACATTATTAAAATACACAATGCAGAGAATTTTTTCACATAATTTCCTCTGTGACCAATCCCCAAAGAGAACATCATGAAAAAAGAAAATTCTGCACTATTCACTTTAATTATGATGTCACACAACAAACTTACTGCAGTAGTGTGTAGCACTGCAGCAGTCAGAATTGGGAACCAGCCGGCAGTAGCTTACTGAGGAGTACTTCTCACCCCAGGGTACAGCGAGACAGAGAAAGTGTCAGGAAGGGAGGAAGCGTTACCCATGCTGTGAAGAAGGAGAGTACGTGAATTTAGCTATGCACAATGCGTGGTATACCACGTGATGTAAGTGGCAGATTCTGATTTTTTCCTCCTCCTTTGAGTTGCTTGTCACAGTGCCCTCTCTGCAGACAGTGATGTGCCAGTTCCTCTCGAGTTCTGGCATGCTGTGGCTGCTGCTGCGACAGTTTGTGAGGTGACTTTAAAGGATCACTATAGGGTCAGGAACACAAACATGTATTCCTCACCCTGTGGTGTTAAAACCACCATCTAGCCCCCTTGGGCCTCTCATGCGTCCATAAATATAGCAAAATCTTGCTGTATTCAAGCCAGAAGCTGTAGCTCTGCATGCGGTTTGCCTCAAAAAAAACAAAAAACAAGCAGCCTGCTGACATCATCAGAAGTGGTAGCCTGATCCAATCACAATGCTTCCACATAGGATTGGCTGAGACTGACAAAGTGGCAGATCAGGGGCAGAGCCAGCATGATTCAAAACACAGCCCTGGCCAATCAGCATCTCCTCATAGAGGAAAGTTCAGTGTCTGCATGCAGAGGGAGGAGATACTGAATGAATGGATGCATTTTAGGCAACCATTACCCAGGAAGGATCTCTAACAGCCATCTGAGGAGTGGCCAGTGAAGTTATCACTAGGCTGTAATGTAAACACTGCATTTTCTCTGAAAAGCTAGTGTTTACAGCAAAAGCCTGAAGGTAATGATTCTACTCACCAGAACAAATTCAATAAGTTGTAGTTGTTCTGGTGACTATAGTGTCCCTTTAAGAGGATTACTTGAGTAGAGTGATTTCCTGCCTAATGGTGTCACCCCTGGGGGGTCACCCAGGTGCGGTCTGCACCCCCTAGTGTTGCCACTGGCTCATGAAAATTTAGAAGCAGCAACCCTGAATTACAAGCCCTGGAAATTTGACTGGAAATTATTCCTACTCCTCCACTGCTTTCTGAGAAACTAAATGTTGGGTCAGAATACTCTCACCGTGCTCAGATTCACTGAAACATTCCTATTTCTAAGGGTGTGCTGATAGTGACCTGCCCCCTGGGAAGATGTAGAACATGCAGTCGATTTGAACAATAAAGAGGTAGAGGAAAAACTTCAGGCTCTCCTGCTTTAGTAGTGCAGGCAGGGAGTGTTGCCCAGCAGACCCTAGGCAGGAACAGTTTGTAAACTACTTACAGTGAGGGGGGAAAGGGGCCATTAGAGCACTCCTGTCTTATTGAAGAGGTTATGCTTGAGTGTTCCTTTAAGCAAGAATGTATTTACCATATCAGTTAACTGTTGCTTTGTTTATGGCTTTCCTTCATAAATAATGCTTCATTTGGTGCCAAATTAATTAAATGGGAATTAAACCCAGTGATCTTTGGAAAATAAAGTAATTACGTTAATAATGTTGACAACTAACCTTCCCACCTACACACACAGGCTATATATACATATTACATTACACTGGGAAATACAGTTACTTAGTCCTATAATGCATTGTGAGCAAGTAATTAATGGATGTCATAAAAGTAGCAAACATCATTAAGTAATTTGTTCAGTATGTTATATATTTACATTGTTTATATATTACCCTTATTAAAGGCATTTTACACAGATTAGGAACAACATCAGTAAGCACATTACGAATTACTATCTGGAGGAGTTAAAGGGACACTATAGGCACCCAGACCACTTCATCTCATTTAAGTGGTCTGGGTGCACTCTCCCTGCCACCCGTAGTCCTGTAATGTAAAACACTGCAGTTTTAGAGAAACTGCAATGTTTACATTGCAGGACTTAGACTGCCTCTACTAGCTGTCTTTGTACTGCAATGTAAACATTGCAGTTTCTTTAAAACATCCTGGAGTTTCTAGGAGTCTGAAGCTGGACATCCAAACATTCTGCATGAGAACATCCAGCATCAAGAAAAACTACATAGGAAAGCAGTGAGGAAATGCTTTCTTATAGGGAAGGCCTAATGCGCATCACTCGATGATGATGTTGGAGGAGGTGGAGAGCGACCGAGTACCAATTTATTTAACCCTTTACATCACTGGGAGGGAGCAGCTGGGGCAGACAAACACGTTAGTTTTAGCAAAAATCTTTTTCTTCCTAACACTAAAGTGTTCTGTGGCGGGACCACTGCCTAAACTGTGAATTGCCTTGTTTCGTATGTGTGGATGTACCCTCCTAGAATGTGTGTTTCCCCTCTTCCATATTTCTCTCTGAAATTTTGACCATAAAATCCTGCAATATACCTTTTTTACCACCTGGGGCGCTCTGGCATGACCCCAGCACTTCATTTAGAATGTTTAAATGAACGAGCGGCGCGTACTTGCCCTTTGTGGCCGCCAGTTCGTATTACTGAACGCCTACCACTCCCGAACTGTGCCAATAAGAACGTTTAGTTAGAATGTTCACACCTCACTAACTAGGTGTGAAAACCACAGACCGCAAGGGAACGAGCAGCGCATGCTTCCCCTGGGTGGCCGCCGGTTCGTATCACTGAACGCCCACCAGGGGGAGCATTCGACTCCTGAACCGGCCCGCGTGCACTGTCTTCGATCCCTTTGTCAGGAATCATCCTACCTGCTCTTAACGGAACTATAATCACTTGCCACTCTCAAACCTGGGAGCTACTAGGCTAGGCTCGTGGCTACCCAGGTAATCGCTCTTTCTGGCGGATTGCTGAGTGCGAGTACCCACCGGAAAGAGAGGGACACGCAACGGCAGGGAGTCCCTGGGGCTGTGAGTTGGTTTCACGGCCACAGGGGTCCCGCTGGCCGCGTGGAAGTCCGTGCCGACCAATGGGAGAGGGAGCACCCATTCAAACTTAGGTTTGCGCCATTCTCCTGGTTGGTCGGCGCAAGTAAAGCACTGATTGGTCGCCACAGGGAGCGGACGACTAATCAAAGAAGGAGCGCTTGTTTAAACAGGGTTTCGCGCTCTTCCATCTAATTGGGTGGTGAAATTGTCCCTGGGCGCTAATTGGCGCAAATACGTTTTGCGCCTTTCAGCAGATTGGTGACATCAGGTTTCGCGCCCTTTCTTCTGATTGGGCTGTGAAACCCCTCTCCTCCCCGAGCACTGATTGGTGCAGCCGAGTTTTGCACCCTTTCTTCGGATTGGGCGGCAAAACTCCCTTCTCCCCCTAACGCTGATTGGCCCAATTTGGTTCTCGCCCTTTCGGCTGATTGCTTGTTGCTTGGTTTAGGCGCAAAGTTTGAATTCGCCAGACTAAACCAAGCAACATCATGCAACTAATATTGGGGATATACAGAGCCTTGAGCCCCAGACTTTTGATGCTGATATTTCCGGCTCTGTAAATCCGATCGCCCTGCTTTTTTCAGGGTTCTTAGAGCTATTCATCCGTATAAAGTGTAACCCTGTACTCCCTTCCCCGGGGGGTGCCAAGCCTCAAAGTTCACCCCCCGTATGTAATGTGTACTCATGCGTGTCCCTGTGCCATGTTAGTATCTCCCAGAGCGGGAGATGGTTATCTGTTCCCCAGCCCCCTCCTGCTTGAGATTCTTTTGTGTGTGGTCTGTGCATAAAAAGCTGTGTGCCCAAATAAACATTGTCAAAGATTGTATCCTGGAACTGTGTCTCATCCAGTTACTGGGGAAATGGGTATGACCTATCCTAACAAAAGGGGATAACAGGCCAGGTTACCCAGGTCCCGCTAAAACTTGTGGTAACAATGGGATCCCATGTCCCTGCCAACAGACCCATGGACTACAGTATGCTAAAGTGACCTACACTGCAAGGCTTGTGTGAAGCCAGAGGGATAATGCCTGGCGGTCGTAACAAGGCCAAATTGACTGCTGCGCTCATGGATGATGACCAGCACACAGTGAGGCAACTAACCCCCAGCCAGGGGCCGGAGAAGAGGAGGAAGTGCGCAAGGAGGTGGAACAGCATCTGGCATATTACAGAGAGCCACCCTCAGGGGAGATCGTCAGCACGACCTTTTCGGTAGACATAGGGTGACCCCAACAAACCCAGATGAGGTGTGGTGTATCACCAAATTAATATATATATATTATACAAGGTTCGTCTACATTAAAAGGTATTTATTAAAAGGCAACAACATAATACTATAAATGTATCAAACACACCCCAGACCCACGGAGCAACAACCCTTTTTAAATCTATCTATATAGTAATCCCCTTCCCCACACGTTTGATCTCACCCACGGTTAGGCCTTCACATATAGTAATGGCTCACTGCTGCAAGTTCAACATCACATCCACCAAGGAAGAAAAGGAAGCAACAGAGTGTAACATGGTTCACCAGGATAGCACATGGCGTCTGATCTGTAGCACAGCCAAGAAGGAACAGAGAGGAATGGAGATAGGGGGAAGTAGTTATCTCTCTCCTGACTTGTAAATGTATTGAATTACCCAATTACCATATCAAAGGGTCAAGCTTACCCCCCCTGTAAGAAAGGCATACATGAGCTTGGTCACCATATTAGTTTGATGACAGAATGTCACCACAGGAGGAAGGAGGGAAGAGAGGGCACCAGGAAGCACAACCATCCTGGCCCGCAAACTACCGTATGCCTTCAATTAGTTCAAGGAAGTAGAAGAAGGCATTGATGACTTTTTACAAGATTGTGAGCACCAGTGCCTACTCCAAGACATTGACCCCACCCACCTGGCCAGCAAATTAGTACCAGAAGACAAGATCAAGGACTATCCCTTTATCAAACAGATCCTCCTGGCCAGGTATTCTGTCACCCCCGAGCAATACCGCCAAAATTTCAGGGAGACCAGGTAAGGGAGTGGGCATGCCGCATCACAAGGGCCATCCAGAACTGGCTCAACTCCCATCAAGCCAAGTCCCCGGAGATCACCCAGATTGTCATGCTGGAGCATTTTTTTTCAATGGGCTCCCCAACGACATAAGAATGAGTGAGAGATCAACAGCCCCAGACCCTCACCGAGGCAGCTCGGCGGGCAGATAAATATATTGACACCCGGCGAGCCCAGTGTCCTATCGTCCAACCATCCGACCACGGTCCAGCCCAACCCCGTGGCCACAGTTCCCCTTCGTGGACCCCTGGTCTGAGCACCCCCACAGCGAGTCTACTTTGGGGAGGAACAGCGCTGCTTCCAGTGCAAACAGCCTGGCCATGTCAAAATGAACTGCCCCCAAAACCAGGGCAGATCCCTGTGGGTCACCCCTGTAGTCCCTGCCAACCCCCTAGAGCTAGACCATGTTTCTTATTTGTTATATTTTCTTTAACATCTTTTTATTAAATATTATCTCTTGCTGCACTCTAAGTGATTGTCATTTGTTTATTTACCTGTTAGGATATAACTCTGCCGAAATACCTTATTCATCTAATAATCTAAATTTATAGCTGTTCAAAATAAAAGGGTTGGTTTTGAATGCTTGCAAATATATATGGGCTTCCATTAACTCTATTGTTAGTGTAACTAGATGCTCTTTGAAACACATAGTTAACAGCCATATTGGTTCTCCTAAAACGTTTAACACAGTAATTATTGTGAATCCTTTGAATTGCATAAACTAATACATCCAAAACAACGAACTACAACAAACAGTAATTAATAGTTACACATTAATCAATGACACCAAATAACAATAACATAGACAGCAAAACAATTACACACGTGCACAATACCCAAAAGGTCTCTTTAGATATACACACTGTAATATCCATATGGAAGCTAATAGGTTAATAACAGATCTGTCACCTTGTCAGACTTTCTCCATTATAAATTCATCTTGAGTTAGTACAGTGCAACCCTCACCCTTACTAAATACATCCTACTTTTTCTCTCTCATTAGTTCATGTTCCCGCAATCCCAGGCATCTCTTTGATACCTTCAACTCTCTCCTTCGCCCTGCTAAAGCCAACCCCCAAACTCACCTTACAGCAGATAGCTTTGCATGCTACTTTACCGATAAGATTAAACCGTTAAGAAATTCTCTCCACTTTGCTCCTCTCCCTCTAAACTGCACCTGGATTGTACCTTCCCTACCCTTTAGACCTTCTCCCGGTTACTGAATAGGGGGTAGCTGTGCATCTCCTCTCGACCCACCACTTGTCTGCTTGACACCGTCCCTTCTCACCTTATCAGATCTCTCTCCCCTTGTCTTGTGCCATCCTTCAAGCACATCTTCAACTGCTCTCTTTCTTTTGGTGTTGTCCCTACTCCCCTTAAACATGCTACTGTTGTTCCTCCCCCCCCAAAAAAAGCCATTTCTTGACTTGTCTTCCCCTTTCAACTATCACCCCATATCACTGCTCCCTTTTTCCTCAAAGCTTCTAGAAAGACGTAACTTTACTCGTTTGCCTTGTTTCCTCAATTTCAACTTTCTCCTCGACCCTCTGCAATGCGGCTTCAGCTCCCTCCACTCTATGGAGACTGCTCTGACTAAAGTTTCAAATAACCTAATTGCAGCTAAATTCAAAGGCCACCACTCCATAGTAATTCTTATTGACCTCTCTGCTGCCTTTGACACCGTTTATCATGTCCTCCTTCTCCAAAATCTTCAATCCCTTGGTCTGTGTCCTTTCATGGTTCTCCTACTATCTCTCCCAACATTTGTTCAGTGTCTCCTTGTCCAATGACATTTCCTCCCCTCATCCTGTCTTGGTTTTAGTACTCCAAGGCTCTGTTCATTGTCCCCTTCTGTTCTCTCTGTATACTGCCTCTCTTGGCAAACTCAATAATTCCTTTGGCTTCCACTACCACCTGTACGCGGATGACACCAAGATATATTCTATATTATTATTTTATGATATATAGAGCCCCAACAAATTCCATAGTGCTGTACAATGGGTGGACTGACAGACATGTAAATGTAACCAGACGAGTTA